ATCCTCATTAATATGAGGATATATGTACTGTATGCCCTCATGTATCATGTACTATATATGTGTATATACATGTATGTGTAGATCACCATATAGAACTAGTTTGAATATGTGTGTGTGAATCTGTGTGTGGGCGGATCAGTGTGTGTGTGTATTATTCATCATCAGACATTCAATCAACTGAAGCAGTGAAGATCAATAGTGTGTGATTCTCTCTGTTCTTATCATGAGTCCACCTTCATCATGTTCTACAGTAATGATATGCTGGTGTACTAATAACACTGTCATATCATTATGAGTGCTTTAACCCTCATGTATGCAACGCAGCCATCAAGAGGACATGGGAGCAAGTAAACACTAACACACACACATTACTCAGAATGCTGAGTCAGTACAATATGTGCCATGGTGATGTAATGAACACATCCATAAGTTTATTAAGCGCCTAATAAACTTTACCAACAGCACGGCATGCAGCGGCTTTCCCCATGTTCTCCGCATCGCCGACACTGTACAACAATGTACCACTCGCAGAACAGCTCAAGGCTGCATCCAGCGTGTGGTGTTCAATGTATGCTCCAGAAGGTCTGTAAATAAATGATTCCTTGTGGGCAGAATGGATAGCGCTCGTATAGGAAGTCTTCGTGATGTGATAACGGATCTTGGCGATGTGGAAGAACTCTCTCCCTATAAAACGCTAATCTAACTAATATCCTCCTCCATCAGTGGATCTCTGAGGAAGGGAGCTGTACATTAATGCAATAGAGGCTTCTTAGTTTGCTCAGCTGCTTTAATGGATCACCGTGTGTCTCACTTTACATGCATTTCCGGAACTCCCGTATAACCCCCGGTATATGCGCAAGCGCATTAGACTACCGTATGTGACAGGAGCTGCCATGTTTTCCGGGGGAGTGGCAGCTTATCCGGCTACCTTCAGTTAGCCTGCGCTGGAGCAGCTTCAAGCTTATGGATGTGTTGCCATGGTGATTTTGCCAAACTTGCTTCGTGGAACCGAAAAGCCTGATCTACGTCATCTTATCCTGACAAGTATCCGGCTAACTCAGTTAGCCACGTACGAGGAACGGGGCCTAGGTCCTCATGCGAGAACATGAACATTTTAAAGTATCTTAAAGTGAAACATTAATGTTTAACGTCTTTTCATAATTCATATTAATGTTCTCATACTTGTACTCTTTAAAAATACTTTGTTAGCACAAAAATACATCATTGAAATACTGGTGAATAGTTTTACCATTCTAGTACGCTACAATATGTGTAGTTCTACCACATTGATAATAATAAAAATAGTGATGATAATAAAGATAATGATAATAAATATAATAATAAAAATAATAATAATAATAAAGATAATAATAATAATAAAGATAATAATAAAAATAATAATAAAGATGATAAGACAATGATAATAAATATAATAATAAAAATAATAATAAAGATAATAATAATAAAGATAATGATGATAAAGATAATAATAAAGATAACAATGATGATAATAAAGATAATAATAATAATAATAAAGATAATAATGACGATAATATAGATAATAACAATGATAATAATAATAATGATAATAATAAAGATAATAATAATGATAATAATAATGATATTTTAATAATAATGATGATGAAGATAATAAACTGATCAACAAACCAAACTCCATTTGATTTTTTTATGTTTTTCACGTAGACACTGATAAAATGTAACAAATGATGAACAGACGAGGAGATTTTACTGCAGCGGGACAGACAGGAAGGAGCTGCTCAAAACAGCAGGAAGTCCAGATC